GACAAAGTGCTGATTCGCTGATGTTACCATCAATGACAAGGTAAATGCAGGAAAAGATGGTCGCAAATCGACTCTAGTAGTTCAAAGAGCCAAAAATTTTCCAGAAAGACGTATTGTCACGCTCACAAAGCAAACAACATCTTGTTGAAACGAATCGCCACACAATGCACTTCTGCGAAAATAGTCACCATGAACAATCCAGTCCGCTTGAGTGTCAGCCTCAAGGTGCCGAACTAGTATGCACGATAAATGGCGATCCATTAAACTTCATTAACAAGCGCGACTCACTTGTTTTGAGAATTCACGAGGCTTTCACTACGCTCCAGGATGGATGAGATTGGTCTTTTTTCGCAAGATTTTTTGGCTGTTGGCGGAAGTGCACGAACAGTTCCTTCAGAAGCGCGAATCATGTAGCCAACAGAGCCGCTGCCGGTAATTATTCAAAGCGCCTTTGTATTTCTTTGTGTGTGGGTCTAAAAACCGCGTCTTTGATCCGGATCCTGATCATTTTGCAGGCCAATCCGGTAAGATGATGTGAAATGGCATCGTTTTCGAGTCCAGACCTCCAAATACTTACATGTGAGAAAGAAATCCTGGTCATAGAGGACAGTAGGCATTTTACTCTATGTTTCTCCGCTCCATACGGACTACGTGAACCCAGAATTGTTTGTAAAATATCATAATGCTGTGATGCACAACAGCTCATTGATCTTTATGCGGGTACAACTCGCCTCGCTTAATTTCGACAAATGTCACACTCGTCATGTATCTCTTTCGCTAGGACTTTGAACATCACAGCAGGAATGGCGATCCACTAAGAGTATCCATTGTCCTGATAACACCACGAATCGGGAACTCACAAAAATATAGAACACTAAATCAAGAGAAAAAAGGACACAGTTTCATCAAAACTATTAAACGGCATGGTTCTGTAGTGTCAACAGCCAAATTTGCAATTGCATATCAAAAATATGATAAAAAAGAGCCAGCTTTTTTTTTATAGTATGTAGTATCACGTTCTCTGTCCACTCCTCTAGCCCCGTCTGCTAAACGATTATGAACGCCATGCATGCAATGATTTGCTGTGTCATAGGTATGCTGCTTTTTGATGTTGTCGTAGCTATCAATTTTTACGTCGTCTCGAAAGCCACCCCCGCCATATCTGCATAGAATCGCGACAATGACTTGAAACGCGTTAAGATGGCGACCACCCGCCGCTTAAGAGGGCACATACTTGCGACACAAAAGGAAACACTTCAAGATGAAGAAAGGGTCCATGAAGACGTGATAAAGGCAAAAGACCTTTTACATACATCGTTTATAAACTTCTTTGGCTCGAACTTTATATTAAAAATGGAGAAGCTCATGGAGCGTCTTTTCG